TTAAGTTGGTTTCTATAGTCTTGCTCTTTTTCTGTTCCAACACACACACCACAGCTGTGAAATTGTAAAACGCATGAACTGTTAACTATCTTTCTAATAGCAATTTTTAAAATAATAATAAAATACAATATGGTGAGTGCAACAAAGAAATAGATAAGCAAGGGGAACTCCGCCTTTGCCAGTCCCAAGCCCGGATGAAAAAGGAGGAAGGGGAGCAGTAACAAGCTTGCTTAAAAACCTGGGTTCAGCTGGCCTGGCTAATAGTACCCTGTAAGGGCTCCTGAGCCAGGGATACAGGATGAGAAGCATTTGTACTCCTTGCTAGGAGCGGCTGCACATGGCATCTGTTCCTCATTGTTAGAGGCGGACATTTCTTTTGGAGCTAAGTCGACCTGCCACTAAGTAGTGCTCCCAGTCTTAATGACAAAAGCAGACGCATTCTACTTCACCCAGTCATGATGGTTGTCAAACAGACACCATCAAGGGTCACAACTTGATACCCTAATATGATTGAGTGGAGATAAGAAAGAAGAAGAAGGTGGTTCAATAATGAAGTCTACCTCACCAATGTCAGCAGAGGTGAGATTTGAACTTTAAACGAACATAAGAGTCCTTCAAGTATTAATTTGATTAATTATGTGCATTGACGAGAAAGCATATGTGAATTCTGGTACTTTACCATAACAAAACAGCTTTTTAACTTTAGCCTTCAAAATTTTCTTTTTTTGGAAATTATATAGTTTTTATATACATTTTAATATCTTGTGTAAGTGTGGAGGAGGGATGATTTACCCTGTCTTTCTTTTTTCTTCTTTTCTCCTGGGGGGCTAGATCATCATCTTCCTCCTCCGGAGAACAATCTGACAGGCACACAGTCATCACAGAACTGGAACATATATATCTTCAAGGAAATAAGACCAAATCCAAATAAAATAAATAGTGTGCGATATTTAGGTAACAGCCTTTGTAACCTATCATCTTGATGATAATGAAACTTCCTGCTTTAAACCAGTTTGGATTTGTGTTCTTATCTCATATGTTTATCAAAACAATAAAGGTGAACATTTTGCTTAAAATTGATGAGGCACAATTTGGATTGTAGATTATAAACACAAGGTAATAGGACCAAATCCAAATAAATAAATAGTGTGTGACGTTTCGGTAACAGCGTTGTTACCATCTTGTATGATGGTAGAAGATGGTAACAACGCTGTTACCGAAACGTCACACACTATTTATTTATTTGGATTTGGTCTTATTACCTTGTGTTTATTTTGCGTAAAAGAAATTGATCTCCTAAAAAAAAAAGGGTTATCTCTCCCAACAAAATACACTCATGAACAAAACTTAAGGAAGTTGTACCTTTTAACATGTATATCGGGATTATAACTCTGATAGATATTTGATACACAGTGATCTTTATTGAAGACACACGAGATAACCAAGTGTTAACAAAATTGCCACTGTCTCCTTAAAAAAAAAATAGACGGCAGGCGAAATCAAATATTTTCTCACTTCCTTAAGTTTTGTCCAGGAGTGTAGATGCAAAAACTATACATCATCTGGTGACCATTTCCGCAAACTAGTAAACTCTGAAGTCAATAAATATATACAAGAAAATAAGACCTAATCCAAATAAATTAATATTGTATCTATAATCCAAATTGTGCTTTATCATGAAGTCAATAATAAAGCTACAAAACATCAGCTTTGGAAAATTCAGAATGGAAGAGCATAGTTCCAAGTTATGGTACTCCAGGGCATGGCTTTGATTTCAATATGAGATCTACAAGAGATTTGGCAAAGAGATGTTTAGCTGTTAAAGTGGCTAGGCAATTCTATGTATAAAAATACAGTTGGAAATTTTACCAGAAGGAAATTTTGACATAAAAAAAAAAAAGGTTACATCTATCATCTAAATGGCTCGTAGTTGAATGGATCTTTTTTGTTGGGAGAAGTAGACTTTGACATCATAACCACTTCTGAGGGATCCCATCATCTGATGATCTCATCACCCTTTGTAAAGTCAAAACTGACTCGACACCTAACCTAATCAAACCTCTAATAAGAGACTACCTCCAGGAGAGAGAGAAAAACTATGTTTTTAGATGATTTCTTATAGGGAGAGGGAAAGTTATATTGTAGCAACAATGGGGGTGTCAGATAGAGAGAGAGATGGTAAGGTACAATTTGGATTATAGATTATAAACACAAGGTAATAAGACCAAATCCAAATAAATGGTGTGTGACAATAGATGGTAACAACGTTGTTACAGAAACGTCACACATTATTTATTTATTTGGATTTGGTCTTATTACCTTGTGTTTAGAGAGTCTCACCATCTTTTTTACGTTTCTTAGTGGAGATGGCCAGCTCCCCAGCAATGCGGAAGGTTTCTGCGTGGACGTAGTCCACTCTGCAGGAGTACACCTTGGCACTGGCATCTAGGGAACGGCTGGTCATCTGCATCAACACAGGTGACAAACCTTCTAGATAATTTCTGTAAAAATCTGGTTAGGAGTTTTTTTGAAGAAAGAATGCACCTTTTTATACAACAACCTATTTCCAGCTTTGTTATTGTTTTGATCTTAAAGTGGCTAACTACCACTGTTCCTCGGAACCACTGAAATGTCAGGACAACAATAAAAAGGATGAAAATTGGTTGCTGTAATAGTATTTTCTTCTAAGAGCAAATGTTTTAAGAATCTATAGGCGGTACAATGACCCAAAATAATTATTGATTCATCAACAGGCCTCATGTGGTCACTTTTATGGTTGGTTGAGGTAGTGCCTTCACTATGCTGACAAAGGCCAACAGCCTGAAACATGTATGTGGTTGGTTTTTCTCTCTTGATTTGTTCTAATATTAACCAATATATATATATTTTTTTTTGTAAATTTTTAAAAACTACTGCTTAGTGTTTTGATTTTTTTTCTGATAGAAGGTATATATTAGATATCTAGTATTAAACAAAAATAAATACTCCAAGGTATTAATAAATCGTAATGGTCAAACATTAACTCCAAAAATGTTGTCATAATTAAAAAAAAAAAAATTAAAATACCCCATCATAAATAGCTAGGCTTTAAGTGGCTGGAATGGGGAAGCCACATAGAACATGTACACCATATTGCTTCTCTGATGCCTCTGTATAAATGTTTATTCTTGGCCATTTTTGGCTGGTAACTCTGAGGAGATTCAAGATAGAAACCTGAAATTTTTTTTGGTTTCTTTCTTCCTTTGAGGTCATGAATAATCAATCTCTCCAAACATCAAACCTCAACTCCCAACCATTTTCAAGTTGAAACTGTTCATCACCAACATACATCATTATATATATACTCTCATGGACAAAACTTAAGAAAATTTCATATTTTGATGTCACCAGTCGTTTATTTTTTGAAAGAGACAGAGGCAATTTTGTTCACACTTGATTATTTTGTATGTCTTCAATAAAGGCCACTATGTATCAAATATATTTCAGAGTTATTGTCTGAATACCGATATACATGCTAAAAGGTACAACTTCCTTAAGTTCTGTTCATTAGTGTTTATATATATGTAATAAGTGGTTCTAGGGTAGCTGGAGATAAGTATCATGTTACTTGGGATAAGTAAAAAAAAAAAAACTCTACCTGGAAATTATGGGCAAAGGTGGGGGATTTGAGCATGCGGGCAAAGACATCGATGATAGGCAGGGCAAAGGCATTGGTATTGTTGATTTTCTGAAACATGTCATCACAGAGTAAGTAAGGACTAAAACTCTAAGCGGTGCTCTGCTTACGTTCTCTGCAGAGAGCTTGAGACTGGTGGCGTACAACTCCGCCAGCTTCGAGTCTGACATATTGGAGACTGCTGAATCCACAAGACTGGAATCACCATTGCTGAGGAACACACACAAGGTTTAGCAGCTTATTAATGTTAGATTAAGTGTGAAGATTATTATTATTGTTCACTGAGAAATATGGACACATATTAGGCTGGTAGGGGGAAACAGAATTATCATGAGAATTTAGCTAATTATACTGATAGACAAAACTTAAGGAAGTTGTACCTTATAGCATATATATATCGGGATTCAGAAAATAACTCTGAGAGATATTTGATGCAGTGATATATATATCGGGATTCAGAAAATAACTCAAATATCTCTCAGAGTTATTTTCTGAATCCCGATATATATATGCTATAAGGTACAACTTCCTTAAGTTTTGTCTATCAGTGTTATGAGTAGGGGCTGGAAAAAAAATTTGCAGCACAGTACGAGCCAAAATTGGCAAAAAAAAAAAAAATTGTGGAGAGAACCTAATAAATGCAACAGTTACATAAATTTTCCACACAATTACTCTTTAAGCCCTTCTGTCGAAAATCCACAGCACTCCCCAGAATGATAATGATCAATAAAGCACCTCTCTTGTCAAAATAGATGTAAACACTACGCACCATCTATTGTCCATCTCTGAAAATGCAATCTAGTATATTCTGGTCAGTGACAAAGCCACACTACCTTTGACAAATTCAGAAGACCCACCTTGGGCTCTCATCCATCCTGGGCAGCCATTAATTTCATGAGAGATCCACAAGAAATTCCTGAAATCTTCAGAATTTTCCAAAGGGGTGTTTTTAGCAGGCAAGGTGGCTTGGTCAAATTTATGGGCAAAAAAAAATGGATAAGAAATTTTGCGGGTGGAGGAAATTTGTATCTTTAAAAAAGACTACCCCTCTCTCTCATCAAAATAAGTCACAATTTTTATTTATATATTTTATATCAAAGTTTTATTTTTTCCGTTCGCCATTGCTCTTCATATTTTCACCTTTTCATACTTCATTCAAAAAAGTTAGAAATAGTAAATATTTCTCTTTGAAATAAATATTGATTTTTCACAGAAAAGAAACTTATGCGGTGAAACTTTAAGTGTTGTTTTATAATCATACGCCGCAGTCCTTTATAATGTATTATAAGTTACTTTAAGTATTATTTACGAACGGAAAAATACGTCCAGGGTAGCCTAGTGGACATGGCATCTGCCCGGTAAGCGGAAGGTTGTGGGTTCGATTCCCGCCCCTGTGGACACTTTTATTTTTCTGTTCGCCATTGCTCTTCATAATCAATATTTGAAATAAATATTGATTTTTCACAGAAAAGAATCTTATGCGGTGAAACTTTAAGTGTTGTTTTATAATCATACGCCGCAGTCCTTTATAATGTATTAGAGTATGTTAGATTGCAGAAAAGGTCAAAGGATGACACCGTTTTTGGCATCTGATTAAAGAGCTTGCCCCCTCCCTTTTAAATAACAGAACAAATGTTTGATAAGGTGCAATATTTGGAATATAGATTAGAAATAAAAGGTAATAAGACTAAATCCAAATAAATAAATAGTGTGATATTTTGGTAAAAACATTGTTACAATCATCAGTCAAAATTATATTTTTAGATTCAGTAGAGGGAGATATAGATAGATCAGATACACACAAGGTAATAACACCAAATCCAAATAAATAGTGTGTGACATTTCGGTAACAACGCTGTTACCAAAACGTCGCACACTATTTATTTGGATTTGGTGTTATTACCTTGTGTGTATCTAATCTATAATCCAAATTGTACCTTATCAGATAGATTAGATATATAGTAGAGAGATTAGATTCAATCTTTTGTTGTCTGATGATGGTAACAACTCTGTTACCGAAACGTCACACACTATTTATTTGGATTTGATCTTATTACCTTTTAGAACAAATGTTTATTTTAGAGATCAATCTCTTTATACAGGTATAAATTAAAGAAAGAAACTACGAGGTAGGCCTACCTTGCACCCATGTTAAATGAAGTGGACATGTTCTTCCTTTTCTTTTCCGCCAGCATGTCTTGGTGACGACGTCGTTTGTCAAGGCCGTCATCAATGTCGAGGTCCTTGGTGTGGTCAGTGAGCTGAGGCTCCTGTAGGGCCAGTCCCAAGGACTTTTTCCGGCTCAAGCCAGGGGTGAGAGTTCTGCCAGGGGTGCCCTCCATGCCTGTGGTAGTCAACAACCCCTGATGTTAGCTACATACATCCAAACAAAGATAGCTTTCACCCTTTTTTTTTACTCTAAAATTGGAAAAACAACTAAAGTGTTGCCTGTAGGGATGGAATTTGACAAGATATTATCGAAGCTATGCAACTCAAATCTTAAAACATTTTTTCCAGTTTCTATTAAAAGAGGATCTGTATATTTCAACTAATGGATTAGGAGACTTTCTCTCGGGATTCTCTCAGGAGATACAGAAGAGGAGTGGAAAAATGAGAGATAGAAATTTGAATTTACAAAGTCCTATGAGAAATATGTAAAAGAAAACAAGACCTAATCCAAATAATTTATTAGTGTGTGGCGTTTCAGCAACAACATTGTCACCATCATCAGACAAAAGAATAAATGAGAAAACATGTTACAGCAGGTTCTTATATAGTCCTGTTATCAAGTGTTTAAACAAGATAACAGATAAGGAAAATTGATAACAGGACTATATAAGAACCTGCTGTAACATGTTTTCTCATTTATTCTTTTGTCTGATGATGGTGACAATGTTGTTGCTGAAACGTCACACACTAATAAATTATTTGGATTAGGTCTTGTTTTCTTTTATTATAATCTATAATCCAAATTGTGCTTTATCGAGAAATATGTAAATATATATATATAAAGCTATTACATTTATAAATTACATTTCCATCTATCAATAAAATCTGTAACAATTAATTTTTTGGCAATGTGTTTCTTTTCATCTCTGAATGAGGATAGGGCTCTCAAAGCCCTCAGTTATATCAGTTCACTCAGAATTTAAATATAAAGTAAACACAATAGCAAATACAGTTTTCTTTGAAAAGGGTAACGATGGGTTGCTGAAACGCACACATTGGAAATGAAATATATAAAAAGAATGGTTTCCCATAATTCAATTAATATAGGGTTTCCCATAATTGTATCAAAAAGGTTTCTCATAATTCAATTAATATATGGTTTCCCACAATTGTATCAAAAAGGTTTCTATTTGAAGTAAACGAAAAAATTGCGCTACAAATTTTAAAATAAAACTACAACCTTTCGCAATAAGTTTCTTTTATTCAAAAGAAACTTATTGCGAAAGGTTGTAGTTTTATTTTAAAAAAAGGTTTCTCATAATTCAATTAATATATGGTTTCCCACAATTGTATCAAAAAGGTTTCTCATAATTCAATTAATATATGGTTTCCCACAATTGTATCAAAAAGGTTTCTCATAATTCAATTAATATATGGTTTCCCACAATTGTATCAAAAAGGTTTCTCAAAATTCAATTAATATATGGTTTCCTACAATTGTATCAAAAAGGTTTCTCATAATTCAATTAATATATGGTTTCCCACAATTGTATCAAAAAGGTTTCTCATAATTCAATTAATATATGGGGTCCCACAATTGTATCAAAAAGGTTTCTCATAATTCAATAAATATATGGTTTCCCACAATTGTATCAAAAAGGTTTCTCATAATTCAATTAATATATGGTTTCCCACAATTGTATCAAAAAGGTTTCTCATAATTCAATTAATATATATGGTTTCCCACAATTGTATCAAAAAGGTTTCTCATAATTCAATTAATAAATGGTTTCTCACAATTGTATCAAAAAGGTTTCTCAAAATTCAATCAAACTCTGCCTTTGCCGGTCCCAAGCCCGGAAGAAAAAGGAGGTGGAGCAGTAACAAGCTCGCTAAAAAACCAGGGCTCAGCTGGCCCGGCTGATAGTACCCTGTAAGGGCTCCTGATCCAGGGATACAGGATGAGCAGCGTTTGTACTCTATGTTAGGAGCGGCTGCACATGGCGTCTGTTCCTCATGTCAGAGGCAGCCATTTATTTTGAAGATAAGTCGGCCTGCCACTGAGTAGTGCTCCCAGTCTTAATGACAAAGGCAGACGCATTATACTTTACCCAGAAATAAGAAAGAAGATAATTCAATCAATAAAGTTTCCCATAATTCTCTATCTCATTAAGGTTTTTCCCACAATTCTACACACAAATAATATTTCCCACAATTTCACAACTAAGGTTTCACACAAATTAATCACTAGAATGCCTTCAGCCACCATTGTGTGTGGTTCCATAATTCTATCCATAAAGATTCCCAAATAGGTATTGGCGGTTTCTAATAAGGAAAACTAGCTTTTTGGGAAAGGAATTTCTTTATTTTGAGGTCTAGCAAACTTTCAAGCAAATTTTTCCCTTCAACAAGCAAATCCAAATACTAATGAAGAGAGAGATTGGGCCTGGTTCACAGACTATATTTCCGATAAATTTAGCTGAAAAAAGAGCAATGGTTTAAAAGTTGTCAGAAGTTCTTGAATTCCCTTTGGCTTAATAGAGAGAAATGGTACGAGATTGTCAAAAGAGTTTGGGCAAGAGTGCCTTAGAAAGTGTAGCAAGTAAAAGGATGGAGAAAGGAGTAACGCACAGTCTGTTCAAATTGGGATTCTGTGAGGTTGAAGACAGTTGTTAGGAATCTCTTGAAGGTCCTTCAAGAAAACAAAGTCTGGAATTTTTTAACAGATTCTTGACGCATTGGATTGAAAAGTTCAAGATAAATTGACAGGAGAGAAGTTTCCCACAAGCTTGTTTTAAAGATGGTAATTTTTTTAAAGGGAAATGGTTGAGATTTGTGAAAAATTGGTTGAATCAAAGTAGATGTGTTGAATGATAATGCACAATTTGGATTATAGATTATTAACACAAGGTAATAAAAGACCAAATCCAAATAAATAATAAATAAATTTATTTGGTCTTATTACCTTGTGTAGATGTGTTGAATTATAGTCAGTTACATTAAAGAAGTTTTACAGTATTATGCTAAAATAAATGTGGCCAAATCACCTTTAGCTGAAAGAGACTGCTAAAGCCATATGGTCGTTTCAAACTGAATCACCATGGTAGAAGAAAATTGTGGTAGCTCTCAAAGTAATAATAGGAATTACTCAGTTCTTTTGATTCTAGTATATCTTTAGCATTTCTGTTGCTTTGGTAAGTTTTGAACCATGTTTCACGCAAATTGTATACATGTAATATTATGATTCCACAATCGATAAAAATGTTTGTGTTAGGCATTTTTAAAACCCCTAAAAAGGTAGTTATGCTCAAATTAGAGAAAAATTAAGACTTGTGTTCTTTTCGTATCAGCCACTTTTCCAGGTATTACTACAAGTGAAAACACTGTGGATACATGTCTATACATGTTTAAAAATAGTTCATACACTCACTAAAGCCCCATGATCCTATTTGGTTGCTTTCATACTCTGGTGGATTGTTGATTTATGCAAGAGTAAATTGTACCTCACCACTAAAATATTTTATAATTGGCATCAACCTGTCACACAACTGAGGATTTAATCTAAACCCCAAAATAGTAAACCAGTTCATACATGTCTCTCACATAAAAAGAGATAAGAGAAAAAACACAAGATAATAAGACCAAATCCAAATAAATAAAAAGTGTGTGACGTTTCAGTAACAATGCTGTTACCGAAACGTCACACACTATTTATTTGGATTTGGTCTTATTACCTTGTGTTTATAATCTACTAGCCGAATGACCCGGGCAACGCCCGTGTTTTACCCGATTGTGTGAATGTTTTGATTCAAATACTATTTGTTACAATTATAAATTGGCGCCTTAAATAAATGCATATATTAGTTAATAACTATAGCCTATGTGCTTTATCTGTCTATGTACTGTTGGCTTCCGTAGGCGTCTCTTACCGGGAAAAAGAAAGAGAGGATTCCATTTAGTTATTAACTAATATATGCATTTATTTAAGGAGCGACCCGCTCCAACACAATAGTTACAAAAACCAAAAAGCGAGTGGGGGGGGGGCAAAGTCAAAAACAAAGTGTCTCGCGTAGTGGCGGCGCCATCGTAGCCACGTGATCGTAGCCAACCAATAGGAGAGCGCCATTCCAAAAAAAAAAGCAAACGGTGACAGAGATGATGACGCTCGTAACTGTATATAGAATAATCCAAATTGTACCTTATTAACCGCCTGATCTTAGCATATAATTG